GGGTGTTTTTTTTTTTTTTTTTTTGGGTGGGAGGGCACAATGGAGGACAGGGGCGCCTCAACCATGGTCCTCCTGTGTGATTTTCTGAGGGGTGGCGGACGACAGAAGCGTGCCGAGGTCTTTTGACCTCCACCATGGTCCTCCTGCGCCCCCACACGCGTTGTTGGCCAAACGACGGATCACCACAAGCCTTCGGGAAAAAAACGGTCTGTGTACGATCGGCCAGGGGGCGGGCTGTTGTGGACGGCGTGGCGTGTACACAGTGTGCGGCGTTGGCGCACCGCGTTGAAAAGGAGATCACTGATTGTCCACGTCCCCGACAGTACTCCATTGTCCACGTCCCCGACGGTGTCGTCTGATCACTGATTCGTCGCCGCAAGCCAGCACTTCCCGCCCTTTGCGCCTTCACTCTCAAGTTTTCTGCACTGCGTGCAGTCCCCCCTCACGCGCCGCAAGCACGTGCTCTTTTTTCTGTGGCCATCCTTGTCGCGGCTCCTGCCCACCACGACAGCGCATCGTCCACGTGCTCCTTCGTCGACGTGGCCGTCGTCGATCTCCAAGCGTCGTGCTTCCACGTGCTCCTTCGTCAACGCGCTCCTTCGTCGACGCGCTCCTTCGTCCACGTGTTCGTCGTTGCCGAGTTGCGGACGACATGGCCCCGAGGATCGCTGCGCGACGGACTGGACCTATACAGCGTCGTCGAATACAAGAACAAACACCTAAAAAGAATCCGACCGCGACGGCATGACTTCAACGGACGAACAGGTAGGCGATTGGGTGGACCAAGCATGTTTCATCCGCTGCGCCAGTCCATTGCGGAGTGCATGAGCCTCGCCCGTTGAAGTCAACATGGACACTGGCTGCGGGGGGCGATAAATCCCCAGGTCCACTCGCCGCCTCACCCCGTTAGCGTCTACCTCCCACAACAAATTCTCGTCGAACTCGATTCCTGCATCGAGCACGATGTTGTGGAGAATGAATACCGCTGTGAATTGCTGCGGCAGACTCTCGAGGTTCGTCTTGTGCGTCCGCAGGAAGAGCCTCCACATCCCTTTCAACCTCTCGAACGCCCTCTCAATGGCCCCTCTTGCGACCTTCTGTTTCGTGTCGAACCTTTCCTCGTTCGGGTGCTGATTGATTCCTCCGTACGGCACCACCACCCACTCAGAAGGAGGATACCTGTTGTCGCCCAAGATGTATCCGTTCGTCGTCACCCCTCCCGGCAGCGTCACAGGCGGCCCACGAAACAACAATCCCTCTTCCGCGCGCCTCGACAGACTTGACAGCTGGATCACGCTAATGTCGTGGCAGCTACCCGGATAACCCACGAACACATCAAGGACGCGCAGATCCAGGTCCACCACAACCTGCGCAATGACGGAAAAACGGTCCTTGTGGTCGAAGTAGTTCTCGCTAGGCGCGTTCGCCGGTTTGTCCACGTAGATGTGTGTGTCGTCAACTGCGGCATGGCAATTTGGAAAACACTTGTCCAAAAAAAAACGTACGACGACTTGTTTCTGCACCCCCGTCGGCCACGATATCTTCTCCCCGTACACCCTCAAAATGGCGGCTGTCACATCGCGCACGATTCGAACTCCGGAAGTCCTGCCCATGCCGAAGGATGATGTGCTGTTATCGTAAGACTCTCCTGTGGCCCACCTATACAGCGCGTATGCGACGATCTGCTCCGGCTGCAGTGGCTCCCTGTAAAACGTCACCTGCCGCTCCACATGAGGCGCACATGCTTCGCTGATCTCCATCAACAGAAAAATTCCCACGAGAAATGAAAGTTGAAAAAACATTCCATAAAAAAAAAATCCTTCATATTTATAAATTATCATTCGAATGTTCGTCCAATTCTAAATTTTTGTGTTTTATTTGATAAGTTCCCGTCTAAGTATGAGCTTTCCCTTCCAACTACATCTATTTTTTCAAGATGGAATAAAAGTCTGGATGAGTTTATGAAATGTTTTAATTCAATTTTCACTCCAGTACAACAAATATCTTCTATTTTAAATTGGATTAACCTATTTATGACTGAAAATCCTTACTTAGAATGATATTCCAATTAAAATATTTCATGAACTCGTCCACACTTTCATTCCATCTCTAGCATGCAGTTCAAATAAGAAGGGATACCCCATTCTTGGAAGGAAAGTTTTCAAGTAAGACGAAAAATTTTAAAATTGGAATGACATTTTTTAAGATGGAATGAAAATTTAAAATTTAGAATGTAATTTCACTATAGAATGATTATTTAATCCCGGAAAATTTTTCCGTTGATGAACACTCTCCTTGACATGCGGAGCTTTTCCCGGAAGTAGTCCTTTGTCGCGTCGTCGCAAACCCATAAATCCTCCCAAGTCCCGCCAGCTCTCCGCCGCATCCACCAACGTGGCGTCGCCCGAGGAAGCAAACCGCTCCCGATAGCAGCACACAGCTGAACCACGGCTTGGGATGTGGTGATGCAGTCCGGGGCGTCCAACACCCTTTGCAGCAGTAGCCTCTGCCGCCGCCTCGAAAGCTCTACCTTCATCCGCCCGACCGCACTCTCGATTTGAAAACGACGGACAAGGGCAACCGCAGCCGCCGCGACTGCTGTCTTCTCCGTCGTCGACAGCACAGCAGGTTCATCGCCATCGCAGTCGTCCATCACGTCCCTCGTAGATAAAAAACGACGTCCACTGCCGCCCATCTCCGTGCACGTATGCCGCCACGTGTTGAAGACGCCTGCAACCACGTTAGGAAGACATCCCGGCCCAACGACGTGATTCCGATTGGAGCGTCCACCCACCACCGCTGGCGTCCACCCACCGCCGCAGCGCTTGCACGTGGCGAACGCGACTGCCTGCCGGACGTCTTCGTTTGGTCACGTCGACCACACTTGACGCAGTGGCGGTGCGGCACCGCTGAAATACGCAACGCCATGGCAAACCAAACCTTGCGCAGCGTAGGCTGGCCCCTGGCCGACCCGCCTGTGCGCCGCCACCACGTCGCTCCGCAACATCAAAATTCAAAAATTCGAATTTCGAAAGGGGATTTTCCCGCGTTGGCATTTTATTTTCGAAGGGTCCGTGACGTCTTCCCGCCGTCCACATTTTGGCCCACCACGAATACTACACGGACATCCCGAATCGGAGGCCGGACATTCCTCTCGCACCTGTGTATAATCTAATTAAACAGGCCGCGGGAGGGCCCCGAGGATTCGTCCTCGGGGCATTTCTCCGAGGACAGGTGGAACGACACCTCCGAAAATCAACAATTGTTCCGAGGATTCGTCCTCGGAGCCCGAGGACGCGCTGAGGTGTGTCGAACGACGCCCTTAACAAGATAAAGCCTGCTGGAAACCGGGTCCAGCGTCCCACGACCGCCCAATCTCAATAGGACAGAACTCCTCAAAGTAGCCTTGAAGCACATAAAAAGGCGGTTGAACTAATCCATAACAAGCCTCTCCCATCCTTCAGCCTACAACATGATATCCTTACAGCGCAGAAGAAAAAGTACAACGCCGGGATGTTTTTAAAGTCGAAACACTATTGGCAAAAGCTACAAATTATAATCTGCAAAACTCAAAGACGTGCAAGGCACTTCACGAAGAAATTAAACCAACTTCGAAAGATCTACACGATTCAAATACAAAAAGGACAGTAAACCAACTTCGAGAGATCCACACTATTCCAATCAGGGTTGTCGAACCCCGGCCCCGGGACCCCGTCGGGGTTCCGGGGTTCCAGGGGTCGGCACCCGGGACCCCGGCCCCCTGTAGGGGAAAAAAAAAAAAAAAAAAAAAAAA